AGCTTTTGAGAACGTAGCTGAATTAATCGCGAAACGCGAAAATGAGCTGAAAGCAGACAGAGAGAGATCCGGCGACGATGAATTGGATTGCAATCCGATAGAAGTTGACGGCGCGATGAAAGATCTAGAAGATTTTGGTGAGATTGACGTCCCGATTGATTTATCGCAAATGATGTCGCGATTGAACGAAGACCATAAAAGAGTCTTCGATAGAGTATGCGAAGTTTTGCAAAATAAAAATCAGATTCTGCGACTGTATGTAAGCGGCGAGGGAGAAAAGTTTTCTTATTGAAACGATTAAACATTGGATCGGAATAAATTTGAAAAAAGTGACTGCCATATCTGCTCCTACGGGTATCGCGGCATGCAATATCAATGGTTTGACGATCCATAGAATGTTTCAGCTACCTGTCACCCGTGAATCCACGGCAAAGTATACGTACTTGTCAGATATGGTTTTGAAAACTTTGAGAGAGAAATTAAGGAATGTCGAATTATTTATAATCGATGAGGTTTCCATGATTTCGAATGTGACACTGATGTTTATCAATCTACGATTATGTGAAATTTTCGACACGACAGATACAGACGACGGTTTTTTTGGCAGAAAACACATTCTTCTGTTTGGAGACTTGTTGCAGCTTCCCCCTGTAAAAGAACAATTTCCGTTTGTTAAAATGTCTCGATCAGAGATTCAGAAGTATTTAGGTACCATGGGTGGATCTGATTTGTGGAGATTGTTCGAGTATGACGAACTTTTGATTAATATGCGACAAAGATGTGACAACACATATCGCGAGATACTTTCTAGAATTCGGATAGGTTTGGTAACGGATTCTGACATCAATGTTCTCCAGTCGATAAAAATTAATTTCAAAGGAAGTTGCGATGAAAGATTGATTGCTCCAGCAATGAAGAAAAAAGTGCACAAAATTTTAAAAGACAAAGATGAAAAAGTTTCGGAAACAGCTGGTATTGAAAGAGTAATAGCGATTAAAATTGGCGCTAAAGTGATGATTCGACGAAACATTGATGTCACTTTGGAACTTGTCAATGGAACACGGAAAAAAATAGATTTGCTGATTCAGCAAAGCTATAGCTTGCTGCGCGAAATTAACATCTGTAACTAAGGAAATTTGGTGGTTTAACAAAGAAATTATGTCTGTTAGCATTTATCAGTACGCTCATAGAACAAACTCATCTTTGTTAATATTATCATTGCTATTGCAACAAATTAGTTTAATTGAAATAACTAATTTACATTTGCAATACATGCGTTTTATTTAAAAAGTGTTGCTGTTATTACCAAAGAAAAGGATTGTGGATAAAGTGTGAGAATTTTGCCGACGGAAGGATACATTAACGATATTTGTCATAACGATGATAACAGAAACGAGTTGTGGCGCTGCGAATGCGACTCACAGCGCGCTGCGCTGTACGATTTCATCATGCTTTCTGTTATTGTTTGGTAGCAGGAGCTGTTTGTCCTTGATCGAAGTTTCTCGGCTATTATACTGTATTATATCACATTTATTTAATGTTTATGTGTATATCTGCTACTGTGTACAACTAATTTGTTTGAAGAGAAGAAAAAATACGTGGCTATTCTCTGTAATAGTATAATGTGCATAGTGGTTGCCTATTTCGATCGCCTATCGGTTCCTTTCGTTATAATAGGCCATCTTGTGTATACGCATTTGCATTTGTTTTTCAACAAAGCTTTTATGGGTATTACACTGAATATTTCCGGCTACAAGATGTGTGAAACAATAAGAGATTTACTCAGTCAGTGGTGTGTTGATGAAGAAATAATTACAGAATTTGAGAGTAAGTATTCAGATATATTTGATAAAAGTATTATCGTTTATTTATATATATGTCACTAATAACAAAGTAATATTTGCAACAGTAGAGTTCTATGGCATATTTTTACAATATTCATGGTTAAATTATTAATGATCTCTTGTATGCCCTAGTTATATCCTTGCGGTTGTATTAAAGCTATATGTAATATTTTTTATTAAGTTTTTTGCATAATGCTATACATATATAATGTTATATAATGCTCTCTGTGTGCGTGTGTGTGTGTGTACGCGCGCGCGCATATAGCATTATACAGGATATGTATGAAGTTAGTATATAGGGTTAGTTAATATAGGGTGCTTTCCAATTGATGACACAAGTCGACACAAGTCGACACAAGTGTCGTTTTATCTTTATCATTCTCTGAATGTCAACAAGGATAAAACGACGCTTGTGCCGACTTGTGTCGACTTGTGTCATCAAATGGAAAGCACCCATAATGGAGTTGCTTATTGTCTGTTAATAAATTTTCTTAGATTCTTCCAAATATAGTATAAAAACATAATAATGAAAACATTTTAATTTTTTTAAATTATTGAAAAATAGTTATTTTTATTATAGAAATATTTCTACGTTAAAATTTTATTTGTTTTTAACGTTAAATAATAGTTTTTAAAAAATTTACAGGAAATATCAAAATTGACCTTCTGCAATATTTAACTGATGATGATATAAAAATATTAATACCAAAAATTGGTGCACAAATTTTATTTCGGAAAAACTTGAAGGATTTTTTAAATAAAAATGTAAAAAAGTGTATTATATACTACAATTTCTTGACTACTAAATATTTTTTAAATATAAATTTATTCTTTTAATTGTAGCAACTTACAGATTCGAATAAAATAGATTGTGAAGAACGAACACTGAATAAGGAGAAAGATGAAAGAACTTTTAAAAATCCCAATATAACAATAAATATTGATAAAAATGAATGTGCCACTGCAGAATCAACATTAATGATGGATGTTCATACGACAGCATGCAATGAATATGATGTGACTAATACTGGAATATTAATTATTGGAGATGAAGGTAGTAAACATTTATTTATGACAATTAATATACTTATAATATTTTTATGTAATAACAATTATTACTTATCTAAACATATTGCGACAAGTTTACTATATTTCATGTTTCATTAAAATAATAATTTTCTATAGGACTTCCTATACATGAACAATTATTTAATAATGTTGAACCTCCACAAAAAAAACAGAAACTATTGTGTGACAATATTTTAAATGATCATAAATTAGACTCAAATGAATCATTAATGTCGAATAAAACGGATGAATCCAGAATTTCTGCAACAACAATATTAAAGGAGATAGAAAAATCAACACAACAATACAATAACTTAACCAGCAATGATTATGTATGTTCTTCAATATATATTATCTCAAATATTTATTTATTTCAATATATGTATACAATTTTCTAATATATACCTTATTTATAAAATTAGTCTTAATTTATTTATAATATTTTAGAATTTAGAAGATGTTTTAAAAGAATCTGTTAAAGGGCATACTATTTTATCTACATATCAATTCCATGGAGAATTAGATGAAAAACAGAGAAATATTTTGGCTGATATTATTGTACATTATGAACTTAAGTATAAAACTTTAATATCCTATGCAGTTATTAGCGGGAATGCGCACGTTAAAGCAGCTGAAAATTGAAGTGTCCCATCTCACCCGTTGTCCCATCTCACGCGAACTTACCCTATGAAAAAATATACCGGTGTATGGAACTTGGGTTGTTGTATAGCAGAGAAAATAATTATATTATTTCCTATGGAAGAAAAAGTAAGCTTTTTTTGAATTACATGATATGCAATTTTATTTAAAAAGTTCTGTAATATATTAAAATATATATAAAATTATTTTTTTTAACTATAGAACACTTGGATACTTCGTGAAAAAAATAGAAAAGGAAAAAGTGTGGGAAGATAAAAAATTTTAACAAAATTTCAGACTGTAAGAAGAAATCTTATAAAATCTGGCGCTATTAAAGTGCAATCAAAAAAATACGAAAAAATAGAAGAAATAACTGATGATTGTGAAGGTTTTTAAAAAATTCTAAAAATTTATAGATTAAAAAAATTTTTTGGTTATAAGTATTTATTTTTAGATTCAGACTGTGAGCAATACGATTTGTGGTTGCAAAATAATGATAAACCGTGGATAAAAGTAACTCAATTATGGGAGAAAACATCTAAAATACGAT